TGAAGGGTGTACGGTCGTACACATGGTTTACGGCCGTAAACCCATTTCGTGTTCATGATTTGGGTCGATTTTTAGGTGAAAACTAATTGTTTCTAGTAGATATCAAGCATAGATGGTAGTTACTTACTGTAAGAGGCTTGAAATGAGGTTTTTAGCTACCAAGAACTAGTATGTGTTCTTGGTGAGAGAGAAAATCTAGAAAAGGATGAAATTAAATGGGATGAAACATGGATTCAACACTAGAAATGAGATAGAAACACAATCAAAGTGAATAATTACTTACATTTTTTAGGGTCCTTGAGCAAACTCGAAAATTGTAGAGAGGAAGTAGAGAGAGAAAGTCTTTGGAGTGTGTAAAGTATGAAATGAAGGTCACTCATCCCTTATATATGGGTGAGTTTTCGGCCAAGGGGTGGGGTGGGGGTGTACAGCCGTACACTCCTCTCGAAGGGGTGTTTGGCCCGGATGCTATGCTTTGACTTGGAAAAACTCGTTTTTGGACCCAAACCTTGATTGTTCCGAGTCTAGAATATTTAATTAGACCCGAGATAATGCTGATAAGAGCATAAATTATTCCGAATTTGATTTATTTTTAATGGTTTGGACGAAAGAAATTTCGGGTTGTCACAGTCTGGATGGTGGTTAAGGCGGATTTGGAAGGTTAAATGTGGGTATGTGCACTCTTGGTCGGCTTCATCTTCGTCTTTATTATCAACATCAGCACTTTCAACTAATTTTGTATAATTAATTGTAAACTACTTAGAACCCCTAGAAGAAAGAGAAGAAGGAAGCGAAAAAATAAAAGAGATAACAGAGGGATAGAGCGATGGAGAGATGGTGGATGAAGAAAAAGAAGAAGGGAAGACACAAAGTTATAACCGTACCAGATTAGCATTGATTTCTAGGGTTTCTTTGTTACCATCACAAGTCGTACTCATCTTCTTCTCTTTTACCGCATATCCAAAAACAAAACCAATGATTGAGAAATTCCCTATTATTTGTTTTCACCATGGTGGCACTATTGGTGTGAGGTCTTAAGGTTTTAGCGAGCGGCATCGAGTTATGAAAGGCAGACGATGGGATCTTCATAGAAGAAGAAAAGGTCACACATTATCAATTTTATAAAATATACTTGCTAATTTTAGAGGTTACAATTTGGACGGTCCTGATTTTATGCAATCTAGTTAGAAAAATAGAAATTAAGATGCGTTTTTGTTTGAGTTGGAAGAAAAAACTGAGGGCTATTTTTGGTATTTTATTTTGAAGGTTTGGAGGTTGTTGATCTTCCATGTAGCAATAAAAATACTTATTTATTAGAATAGAAGATTATTATTATAATTATTATTATTTAATTTTTTTTTTTTGGGGGTGGGGGTGGGGTGTTAGTTAGGGACCAAAAAACAAGCATCAAAGTTATGGTGGTGGAACACAAACTTTAAAACAAAAAGATAGGAGTTGAACAAACTTTAAAACAAAAAACATACATAAACAAGTGTTTATTCGGTTAAAAAATACGACATATTAAGAATCCAAATAAGATTAATAATACAAAATATAATTTTTATATTGTTCATTAAAGTGGTTCTTGTAGATATATTTTGTCTTGGAGGTTGTGCATGACAAAACAACAAAGTAAGCGACTCTTTGATTTCCTTCTGACCTAGTCCGGTCAAACCTTTTAACTGACTCAGTTTGAGTCAGGCCGTTTGATAACACGGTCTTTGCTCTTAGTCGGTCAGTAGAAGGCTAATAAATGGGTGATTGGGTCCTCCAAAAATAAATAGCTGACCAAGATATAACTCTTATTTTCCCTTTTTTTCCCTTCTGTTTCCGCCTCCTTCACCTTTCTATTCCTCTCGTTGTATCTTCTTACACCGGTACACATCTCCTCCTTCCTTCTTCACTCGCCAAACACCATCCCTCAACCAATGCTTTCCACTCTCCTTCCCTTGCCCCTCCATCGCCTCCCCTCCTATCGGGAAGTTTTATCTCTCGATTTTTTGAAATCATTGGTTGAAATCGATTTTCTTAATGCTTGAAATCATGAAGGGTTGTTTATTAATTCGATCATAAGTCATTGTTTGAGTCAAAGAATTCGAATTGTGTTTGAATTTGGAATTCATCATTCGATTTTCTGTGTTGATGAATCTGATTTTATGAAAACATATTTGTTATTGATTGTGACTATATATGTAGATTATAGAGAAAGAGAGGTTGTGACTTGTAACAATTTATTTGCCTATAGTTGATTTCTGTGTTCTAATATTATTAATTCAAATCTCTATTGAGTATGGAATTATTGTATGTGTAAGATTAATAAAATCTTATATATACAAGTTCTTAAAAATGAGGAACATTGATATTGAAAAATCAAAATATATGTGGGCTAACATGTTTCAATGGAGAAAAACATTTGGTGTTGACAATATCTTTCAAGATTTTGAGTTCACTGAGCTGTAAGAAGTTCTGGAACACTGTCCTATCATGGTGTAGATCAAGAAGGAAGGCATGTTTATATAGAGTTATTATGAAAAGCTGATCCATATATGTAAAATATTATGTGCAGTGGTTTGAGAAGACTACTTCCATCGGTTTTCCTGCTTGTTCTTTGTTTTTCATGTGAGACTGAAGATCAAATTCAAAACCCCTGCAACCAAGTTGCAAGGTTACCGGAACAATAACAACATATGCTTGAGATTAATTGTACAAGGGACTTGCTTTTTATAATTAATGAAATGGTTGTTTTTTTGTGTCATTTGTTTCTTTGAATATGCTATTCTATTATTACATTATAATTTTCAAAAATCCATGCAATTGATTGTTTCTTTTTTATTGTTTTGGTGAAGAATACTATGAAGTATTTTGCTTTAATAAGTTTTACATTTGGTGGAGAGATTATGATCAAGTTTCGTTTGTTTGAACAAGAGATTGAATGCATTTATAAAAAACATGTAATATTATAAATTAAATGGTAAATCATAAATGAATTATTATAAAAAATAATGTATGTGGGTACTATAATCATTTTGCATTATCAGTTAGTAGTAAAATCAAACAGCAAGTTTTATTCAAAAGTTCACTTAGTCAGAAGTTCTCACACAGTCAGCTTCTAACTCAGTCGGCAACTATCAAACGACCCCTAATACAAATGGACAAAAGAAATTGAAATAAATGTAATACAACTTATTACAACCATGAATTGTATAGATTGACGTCTACAATTGCAGTGTTCAAAGACAAAAATTTCATTGAAAGAGATCTATCAATAATATATATAACAATCAATCAAGAATAAATCTTTATTATGACAAAATTCACTATGCTCCTATCTTGATTGCAGAATACGAAAATATGAAGAAGAATATGTATTTTCTCTAACCCGTAAATCTGTTTATGGCGATGTATATATCGGCTGTCGGCGATGTATATATCGGCTGTCAAATGGCAGTTAATAACCATCTTCCCTCGATTAATTGCTAAAAACCTAAAATTAATTGTTTTAATAGTTAAAATAGATTCAACAGATTTAATTAATAATATAATCTTTGACACTAATTCATGAATAACCCAATCCCTTTAACCTAAGTTGTATCCATTTTATTAAGACCGGCATAAAGCTTCATAATGAAAGAAAATGTTTCATATTGTTTCCAAACGTCCCACAATGGTAATTTTCATATATAAAGTTTCAAGAAATATATTTTTTGTAAACTAATATTTTAGGCATGTTTTTCTTAAAGTTTAAAACTAATGAGTCAATAAAAAACTCGCCTCTTATTTTATATTTGTAACGTTGTTTTAATGAGACCCGTTGCTGAAAATAACTTATACTTTTATATCGGTGGGATAATGACTTGAGAGGGTAACATACTTTTGAATTTGATCAGATTTGGTCACTGAACTTTTTTTCGTGTTCTATTAACCCTTTAACTTGTTGAATTGTGCTAATTTCCCCCTCCCGACTATTTTTTGCTGGTTTTAATGGATTTATTGATCCTACGTGTCAGTTTGATCCTACGTGGCATGTAGGGTTCTTGTTATTAAAGGAGGGGCGTTTGTTGTTCCTTTATTGTGCCCTAATACCCGATAGCTTCCTCCTACAACTTCTCATCCTCCTTCAATAGATCAACCAAGAAATCCATAGTGAATGATCCAAAAACTTGTAATTGTGGGTTCCCTGCACGTATTCTAACATCAACAACACCAAAGAATCTAGGGAGGCATTTCATGGTGTGCAATGAGGTAAGTAATTTCACTTAAATTTTCCCTCTTTTCTGATTCATTTATTCCAAATTTGAAATCTCATTTTGAAATTTTATTGTGGAAGGGTAAATGCAAATATTGGAGATGGTTGGATGTAGAACTTGTACAGATGCCTCTAATGGAAGTGGTGGAGGGAATGAAAGCTGAATTAGTAGCATTGAAGACTGAAGTAGAGAAGGTGAAGGAAGACATGGAACAAATGAAGAAGGAAAACTACTCTGATGCCATTGCAATGAAGGAGAAAATATATAAGTTTACCATTGGATTTCTTTTTTTGATCATCGTGTATATGATGAAATGAAGTCAAATGATGTATTGAAAGATGCTGTTTGAATAGAATAAAGTTGTTATCTTAACTTCTTGTTGGAATGGAATGAAGTAACATTGATTGTAATGGAATCACAAAGAAGTAATTTTGACTGGAATGTAATTATAAAGAAGCATACATATTAACTGCATACATATTAACTTTCATTGGAATGGAATCACAAAGAATGGAGCCATTATCTCAAATTCTTGTTGGAATGGAATGAAGTAACTTTGACTGGAATGGAATCACAAAGAAGTATTTTGGACTGGAATGGAACCATAAAGAAGCATACATATAACAATGAATACATATATGATTTTGACTGGAATAGAATCACAAAGTAGCATACATATAAAGAATTAGTTTTGACTGGAATGGAATAACAAAGTAGCATACATATAAAAATGAACACATATAATAAAAAAAGTAAGTGAATGTGGTGGTTGGATTCATTGAAATACTCCATTAATATTCGAAATTAAATAAGTTTTTGTCTGCATACACAAAAGTAATTTCTAGGTAACACAAAAGATTCCTGCATAGACAAAAGAAGGGTCACCATGTGCCCATACACCTATTTGATAGTACCATAGAAAAACATAATAAAAAGACTACTACTTTGTCTTTACATCACAACTGCCCACCCACTACACACCCACTAAATTAATCAATAACTGAAGGGTTACCTGCATTGCTCCCAACCCCAGGTATCTGCTTCCTTAATGCTTGTTTGATGATCCGTTCAGAATATTTCCTCCTTCCACTTCTACTAACTGGGACCCTTCTTCTTGGCATGGGGACTGCAGGTGGTGGTGGAGGAGGTTGTTGGGTTGCAGGTGGTGGTGGTGGAGGTGGTTGGACTACAGGTGGTGGTGGAGGAGTTTGTTGGACTACAGGTGGTGGTGGAGGAGGTTATTGGGCTATAGGTGGTGGTGGTGGTGGTTGGGGTGCAGGTGGTGGTGGAGGAGGTGGTTGGGCTGTAGGTGGTGGTCCTTCATTGGCCCTGGATAAACTTGGGTCTGCTCCACTGCCCCTGGATGAACTTGGTACTGCAAACAAAAATTAAAATGTCAATTCTTTGTTCAAATGATGTAATGTTTTTAAAAATATTCACCTGATGTATTGCTTTGCTTGTTAGATGGACACTTTTTCTTTGTTGTAACCTGGTTCCTTACAAATACCACACTTTATTATGCTTCCACTTCTTGAGACAGTTTGTCTACTTGGTCCAGTCAACTCTCGTTCAATTGCATCCCTCTTCCTTTTCACTGATGGCCTACCAGGTAATCTTCTTCTTTTGGGAGGCGAAGGCTTACGGTATGGAACATCTGGCCACATATCACTACTATTGAGAGGATTAATTCTATATTTGTAGCATTTTAGGTAAGCCTCAGTAGTGTATGATTGGGACACATATGTCTCTGCATCATGATTTAAGTAAGAGATTGCTGCCACTCCATGTAAGCATGGTATCCCTGTAAGTTGCCATATTCTACAAGCACACTTCTTTGTAATTAGATCCACTCCATATGCAACATCAATGAGTCTAACCTCATACTTTTGATAACCACAAGGAGTAACTCCCCACAATCTGTTTAAAGCAAAAAATATAAATCAATAACACATCCTCATAATTAACATAAGCATATTAAAGTAAAAAAACTTACCTCTGTTTAACCTTCAGATCTTCTATATGCTTCCTAATAGTTGGGCATATAAGCAAATCCCATTCCATTCCTTCAACTCTCTGAGTGTATATCCTTTCCATCACAAATAACCTAATCTCCTCCAGCATAGTGATTATAGGTCTCCTTCTAGCATGCCTAATAGCAGAACTGAAATTGTCACTGACCCCATTCTCCACTGCATCACAATCTCTTCCTTTTTGAAAGAATGCCTTAGACCAGGTAGTAGGATCTCTGTCTATAAGATAATCATAAGCATGAGTATCAATAGATTTGATCTTCTCCATTACACCTCTGAACTTCTCCACAGTACTAGCCCTTACAGCCCTCCAAAATAACTTTATGCATTCTTGACCAGTAAACCTTTTATTAAAATTGGCCACAATGTGTCTAGCACATTGCCTATGTTCAGCTTCTAGACATATTTCCTTAACTGCTTGTAATAACCCCTACAAATCACAACATCATTATGAGTGAAAAAGCATAAAAATAACCTAGTACTAACCTTGTGTCCATCAGAAAGAAGGGTAATTCCTGCACCAAGACCACCATTAATGTCATCCATAAGCAAATCTATGAACCACTTCCATGTTTCTTTATTCTCAACACATACCACAACCCATGCTAAAGGGTAGATGTGGTTGTTTGCATCTCTCCCAACAGCTGAAAGAACTTCTCCTCTAACTATACCCTTTAAAAAGCAACCATCAAGCCCAATTACATGCTTGCACCCTTCTAACCAACCATCCCTTACAACTTTGAAACACACATAAAACTTGGAAAACAAAGTTGTGGAATCTGGCATGATGTCTACATCCAATCTCATAGTAGACCCAGGATTTGACCTGATAATTTCCTCACCATATGACCACAATCTCCCATAATGTTTAATTAGACTTCCTTCAATCTCTTGTAATGCAAATTTCTTTGCATTTTTGCATTGCCCCACACTCACATTTATGTTGAATGTTGTTGACACTTTAGCTTTCATCTTCCTTGCACTCATTTTTGGGTTCAATATAATTTTACTCATTAAATGTTTCCCTATCCATCTATAAGTTACAATTAACCCAAACTTAAACACCCTACAACAATTATGTTCATTCACTAGAGATTTGATCTGAAAAGTCTTTTCTTTACTCATCCAGGAGGCCCATAGTCTGAAAGGGCACGATCGTGACTTATTCTTTTTGCAACATTTCACTAACAATCTATCAGAGTCATTTTTTTAAAACCATAGATCATACCCATTAGCAACTGCATAATTTCTTAACATATGTTTAAGCTCAGTAGGGTTAGAAAATCGCATACCTATAATTGGTTTCATCTGATCCCATGGTTGTCTCTCATCATACACAGGGTACTGGGGTGGCACGTATTCATCATCTTGATCTTCACTCTTTGTAGGTTCACAAAGGATGTTTAAAAATCTATCATGTGCAGTTTTGTTTGCTGGAAATGGATAGGTAGCATCATCTTCTTCATGATCAACGTAATATGAATCTTGAATAACTGAATCCTCATCTTCATCTAAGTCTTCGTTTTCACTTTCACTTTCCTCAGCCTCAATCCAGTCGAAGATAGGTTCATTATGGTGATCCACATATACGTTCATTCTCTTGTCATTAGCATACGCCAAATCCAAAAATTCCTTGTAATCACCCTCGTTCACCAGTGTATGAGTTCCAAGACCTGAAGACTCTTGGGGAAGGCAGAAATAGATGTCTTTGCTTCTCGATTTGGTGAGCTTGTGAAGGAATTCCATGAATTTCTCATACCTAAACCCACTGAAGTGAACAGCTCGCACTAATGCTTTATCGGGATCAAAGTAAACTAAGGGTTTGGGGGAAAACTGACCATTGTAGTGGAAATCTACTACAATGAAGTTCTGATCAGTAGGATTTGGAGATGATGCCATTCTACAGAACGATTGAAGGAGACGAATGATCGATGGATAGTTTTGTGCCCTAGTCGAGTTTAAGGACCAAATGAGACTTCGGGGTGTGGTTTAACGAGAAGGAGACGAAAAATCGGGGCCTACATGCCACCTCTTTCGCCATGTAAGATAAAAAATACACGTAGGATCAATAAACCCTTGAAAACCGGCTAAACCCGGTCATAAGGGGAACATTAGCACAATTCAACAAGTTAAAGGGTTAATAGAGCACGGAAAAAAGTTCAGTGACCAAATGTGATCAAATTCAAAAGTATGTTACCCTCTCAAGTCATTATCCCTATATCGGGAGAATTTAATGAGTAACATTAAAGTAACTACTCGATTCAGAGTTTGTTGTTCTTCTAGTCTTTATCAAACATCAATGCAATTGTGAAATAAATGCTTTTGTTTGTAATATGCATGTTGAAGAACAATGATGAAGTTGCATCTTCATAAGTATTTTTTTTAGTTGTTAAAAATGTTAGCTAGGATAAATTTTTATACTAATTGACACACATGACCACTTCAAAAAAGTTCATCAACACTTATGTAATCTAAAAGTTGTTGAAAGATGAAGCATTTACATCGAGAAATCATTGAACTAGCAATCCAGTTCCGTTAATTGACGATTAATCGCTTCATACAAAATACTGACTTGATAGTGTTGTTCAAGTGCATGATCGTTATTCCCCATACGAGCTTGGACCCATCTAATAAAGTCGAATGAAGATAAATCGAGGATATATATATATATATATATATATATATATATATATATATATATATATATATATATATATATATATATATATATATATATATATATATGTTGTATACTTGACGAAATGACTTAAGAAGATAAAACAAATTACCTCATCTTTTACTTTTTCACTTTTCTTTACCATAACACTTTGGTGGATACAACTAATCTCAACAATAAACATATCTTGAGGTTGTATTTGTAAATCTTGATAAAGTGAATTAGTAAGGCTACTAATATCTTCTTGGGTCAATGAATTAAAATATTTACAAATTATATATACATACTAATTTAGAAATCCTTGGTGAACAAGACTTTCATGTGATTGGTTTATATATATATATATATATATATATATATATATATATATATATATATATATATATATATATATATATATATATATATATATATATATATATATATTATGTTTTGCTTTTTAATAAGGCATGCTGGTATGCTTATCACGAGAGGGTTCATGGCCTATGTGGCGGCTAACCACGGATGTGAGCACCATCCTAAGGTTCTAGTGGTGGCTAGTGGTGGAGCTATTTCGTTATCATCTGTGGTGGGAAGAACGGAACACCGCAACCAATAAACTTGCTTCTCTCTTTATTTCTCTCTATCTCTCTCTACCTTTCTTCACCTCTCTCTACAATTTAATTAATTAAAAAAATATATTTTTTATTTTAATAATAAAAAAAATGGGATATAGTAGGGATGAGCATAGGCGGGTACCCACCACATTTGGCAAGAACTGAAACTGGAAGTTCCTAGAAAGTTAGAATCAGAACCGAAACCACTCTAGGCACTTCTTAAATTTTTGGAACCAGTCCCGGAACCGGCGGTTCCGGTTCTGGGAGCGGGAGCGGGTACTGTAACATCCCAAAATTCAAGACCAAAAATTTCGTTTTAATTAAGTTATTATAAATCCAACAGTATAAGAAAACTTCCATAATAACATATCTAGTCAAAACCAATACGTCAACATTCAAAGCATGTTATCATAAAACAATATCAGAGTATAATCCCAAGGATCTCGTGTACGGAAAGTATAGTGTGATATGTTGCGATCAAGCCGGCTCCTTTCCTTTAAAAATGAGTACCTGAAACCAAAAGTGTAAACCGTAAGCACGAAGCTTAGTAAGTTCCCTAAATACCACATACCATACATATCAACATACTGCCTAACATATTTGGGTTCTGGCCTACCGCTTTTGGTCTCTTTCAACCGGATACTATCTACCATATAAACATATACTCACATATTGTCATACATAATCATGAGCCATACATATATTATAATCATTAAAGATGCTATGCGCCAAACATAGTCTTGCAATTATGCCACGGGCCGCCACGTGGTCTTTCTGGCCAAGCCAAGGGCCACCCCTCGGTCTCACAGACAAGTGCCAAGAGCCACCTCCTGGTCTTCCATGCAAGCATCATAAAGAAAACTAGCATACATACTACTCTACTTAGCTAATCAACATATAGTGTGCCAGGAGCCACCTCCTAGTCTTTCATACATAATAGCATACAGTGTACCAGGAGCCACATCCTGGTCTTTCATACATATTGCGTAGGGCTAACCCTCGGTGGTGGCCGACGGTGGTGCTTGGCGGCAGCCACCACCTCACGGTGGTGGTGGTGGCTTCCTTGCGATTTCCTGCTAGACTAAACACACACTAATTAGAAATACATGCTCACACACCTATTGTATGGTCACAAAACAACCGCCAGCCACCCTCCAACGGTGATCGGTGACGGCAACAACAAGTTTAGGACGGCAGCCACCACCATGAGGTGGTGGCAGTGGTTTCCTTCATTTCCCATTCAAATAGCTACACCCACGAAATAACACAAACCACTCAGACTTGAAGCAACAACGCACTCACGCCTACGTGAAACACGAACATGGAGGCTGGAACGCACGCTACAACCACCCTCGATGTGGTAGATGTTGACCGGAGCAACATGCAACGGTCGTGACTGCTTGAGGCACTGAAGATCCAAGAAGAACAACCCATCCATGGCGTGCGGCGGTCCTTCTTCGTCAGTTCACAGCTTCTCCGACAGTGAAGTCGTAACATCAGTGCTCGGACTCGAATGGCAGCGGCAGCAACAACTTCTCTCGTAAAACCCCTCACAGCCCCGTCGCCATAACCTTTGACTCGTTGAACTCTCTCTCTCTCTCTCTCTCTCTCTCTTGCCGGCAGAACACATGGTGGAATTCCAGTGGTGGTAGGCGTTCATAATACGAACGAAAAGGATGGCGGTGATAGAGCATCGACAGAGGGATATGGGTTACGGCTGCAACATAAGGGCTCCTAGGGTTAGGGTTCCCGAAGAGTCACGGGTTTATATACCCATTTACTTCCAAACTTCCCATAATATACAATTCGAGTCCCTCTTTCTGCTATTCCTTTCAATATTGCTCCTTTATTTACACTTTAGACCCCAACTCCTAAATTCTTTTCAGAATAAGCCCAAAAGTTACTAAACAGTCCCTGCTCCACAAGTTTTTCTCAATTTGAATCCAACACTTACACTTTTAGCCCCTGATTCCATAAAACCATTTTAATTTAATCCTGAGAACATTCTTTAGACCTCCAAAACAAGTTACAATGTCAATTACACACTTTTTCACTAAATTCTTTATTTAAATATATATTCATATGCCAGAATAAAATAATACTTGAAATGCATCTTTATATTTTAGGGTTTGTATTGGAAACGGGATGTGACAACTCTCCCCCACTTAAATTAGATTTCGTCCTCGAAATCATTCCTTATTATTCCTTACACGATGAAGCACTCTAGTAACATGGTCACCATCCCGAGCACATCCTAGCCCTCCTAGGGTAACTATGACCAGCCTTTTCAAGGCAACCATAACCCACTCTAATAGGGTTCCAAAACCTGAAGATAAATGAATTTCCTACAACATGATCACATCTACTCCATTTGAAATCTGTTGTCTCTAGATGGTTTGAATCCCCGACAAACCACTCATACTAAATTTGTCACATCCAAAAATTTTACGCCAAATTTAAACTTTTTCAATCATAAATAAAACCAAATAGTATTTGTTTACAAAATATTTTCAAATCATTATTCATCAGAGTGTCCCAATAACTAGATCAAAGGGATGAGGAGCGGTAAGGTCACGCCTTCGCCTTGCCATGATCTCCTGAAGTACCTGAAACAATAAACTGAAAACTATAAGCCCGAGGGCTTAGTGAGCTACTCCCAAAATACCAATACCACCATGATAACACCATATCAGTAACATACAATCAATAACATGCATAGTGGGACATCGGCCTAACTGGACCGCCCTGCAGGGTCTATAGCCTATCTAATCCTCTCCCGAGCCTTCGACATGACTGGACCGCCACATGGGCCTATAGTCTCCCCGGACCGCTCATAGGGTATGTTGGCCTTC